GTGTTGCAGCCCTGAGCTGCTCCACCATCTTGATGCCCTGCTTTCTCTCTTGAGGGCCTAGGTTAGCTGGACCTTTACGAAACGTGTGGTCCATGGCCCAGCAGCACTGGCCGGACTGGACGCTTGCTGCAAATGCAGAGTCCCAGGTCCCCACCCATCAGATTTTGTATTTGAATATCCCTAGACAGTGGTCGGCAAACTCATTAGTCAACAGAGCCAAATATCAACAGTACAAAGATTGAAATTTCTTTTGAGAGCCAAATTTTTTAAACTTAAATATATAGGTTACTTCCTGCAGAGTGCATTCAGAAGAAAAACAAGAGAAGGTGAGCCTTGTCACCAGCAGTGAAGCAGTAACTCACACTTGAAAGCTAGCAAGTAAAGCATGCCATTGAGTCACCAAGGATTCAGACAAGCTCATTACCCGTGCCATTCACAGCCCAGTCACTGCCAGCACAGCAACTCCTCTCTCCTCATGTTCCCCTTATAGAACTGGTTGGCTGAACTTCTCCAAACAGAAGCACATCAGCACTTAACCAGAGTACCAGAGCCCCTTGCCCACTGTTGCCCAAACTCACCACAAAATATTTGAACAAAGTTTGAGAAAAACTCTTCTGATTTTTTTTTTAAGTAGTTAACTCTTTTTCTTTAGTTTCATGAAGTTCTCATTCATCTCAGGAAGGCACTTTGAAATTTAGTCAGATGTTCTTTACTTTAATGAACTAATTTGATAAGCATCGTTAAGACCAAGAAATTAATATAATTGAATCAAATACTTCTATAGAGAGCTATTATTGCTACATATAGTTTAATGCAATGCGGAGAAAAAATAACACAAGAAACATATATTAATCTCCTGGACTTCTATTGAACTTTTTGGAAATGATATGCAATTATACATTTTTAACAGAAGTATGTAATATTTGTCCTCAAACCTATTGTTCCCTCTTCATATAACAAATCAATAATCATTGCTTTTTCATCAGAGTCTGTGTATTTTACATAATTCACGGTTAATTTGAGTAGTATTATCCTAGCCCATCTTTCATCACTGAGTTCTAGTTAGGAAACATTATTTGAGAGTCTTCTATAATGCCAGGTACCCTCCTAAGTCCTAGGAATACAAAGGTAATGGTCAAAATTCCTTGCTTTAAAGAACCTACTGTTACGTAGGGAAAAACCCTGGAGAGAGACAGTAAGTATTCAATATGACTTATGAAAAAATGTATATTAGAGTTAATACAAAACAAGGAATAATTACTTATGGATAATGATCAGGACAAAGGAATAGTGGGATTTATATAGACACTAGAGGCCTGGTGCACAGATTTGTGCACATTGAAAGGAAATTAAATTAGAAGAAATATTTTAGAGGCCAGGGAGGGACTGCGGGAGATTGTCTCCAGGGCATGTCCAGCCTGTCTCGCCCAATCCCCATCGGCCAGACCCCAGCAGCAAGCTAACCTACTGGTCAGAGCGTCTGCCCCCTGGTGGTCAGTGCACATCATAGCGACTGGTCGTATGGTCAAACGGTCGGACACTTAGCATATTGCGCTTTTATATCTATAAAAAGGCTAATATGCAAAGTGTCCCCTCAGGAGTTCAAGGGACAATTTGCATATTACCCTTTTATTATATAGGATTAGGAAATGTAAAAATGGATAAAAGAAAATGTAAGGTCTGCTACTAGTCAGGAAAAAAAAAAATCACTGTCTTTATTTTAGAGCATAATCTCCCCAGGGTTTTTTTTAAGTATATTTGTGTATGTATATTTATACACTATAGTATATCTATATGTATGTAAATATATCACAACATACATATAAGTATATATTTATACACATAAATGTATGTATATATTGATACACTATCACATATAAAGGTAAGTATTGTATGTGTGTATAATGTATGTGGTGGTATAAATACAGTGTTTGTATGCATGTGTGTGTAGAAAGAGAGACTCAGTAATACCTTGATGCAGCATATGTCTTAATATAAAATCTGACCAGTTGCTGTGCTCTGACGGTGGCCCTTTGCCGTGCCCCACCCCTCGTGTTCGGAAAGGCAAGCCGTAACTGCAGAACACGAAGAAGCAGTAATACCTGTAATACCTGAGGTGTCTTTAGAGTCTGACTCAGAGTCCGATGTCTCCGAGGATTCCGAAGTTTTCTCTGGCAGATGGGGGAGCTGCGCGATGTCCATCGGGGTGTCCTTGTACTCGGGGTTACTGCGGGGAGGGAGGGAGATTCGTGAGGAGTGCAGGCACCCATTCTGTATAATTTGCTTTTCACCATCTTCTTCCCATTTCCTTGCCCCAAACTTTTGGAGTTTAGAGAGTGTAAACGACTAAACATGAAGTAATTTCTCTGTTCATCATGGCAATTTTACAGAAGCTTGGAAGCCTGTGCTGGGGCACAGGTGCGCCCTGCTACGATGATTGAATACCCAAATACTACGTGAAAGCCACTAACAAGCTTTTACTTAATCAGGTACCACTGGGGGCCAGGGAACTGCGCTGCTTGACATTCCTCGCAGTAGAACACCTGGGGGGAAGGGAGGAGGAGAAGTGCTCTCAGCAGTTCCCTCCCATCCCTCCTGGGGTGCCCTGACTTCTCCTGGGCTCCTCATAGGTCCATTGCCTCAGTACCCTTGTCTTGGCTCCTTGATGGAGCTTCTCAGTTATTCAGATGGCTCCAAAGCTGTGGGGGGTAGGGGCAGAGCCCTGAGTGCCTAAGATCTGACAGATGCACAGGTGCACCCTGGGATGCGTGGATTATGGCTACTGAACTGTCAACACACCCATTACAATCACATTTTCATCTGTTCATGTGGTGTACACCTGTAGCTTGTTAGCTGGGAATCTGATTGCGGTGGGGAGGGTCCCAGTGTGAAAGAGACCCTAACAGACTGGATCTAACCCCACTTGCACAAACATGTTTAATTTTTGTTCCATTTTAAATTCAGAAACAAGCCTTTTCTGGAAAAGAGAGGATATTCAGTCAAATTTGAGTTAGCTGTCTTCTAAAAATGCCACTCCAAGGCTGGCCCAAGGCATGAACAGTACAGGCTACTGTAACCGGAAGCCACAAGGAAAGTCTCTTGCCTCAAAATGGAAGATGCCTCTGCTATCCTTCCATAATGGCTAGTCAACCAGAGGCTCGCAATAGAGGATTACCGAATCACTTGCTAATTTCTAGTGGAATTCCTACATTAAAGAGTCACTGGTTCAGTAACTAAAATTGCAACTGTCTCTGGGAGGGTTAATTCACTGAAATGGATTATCAGGCACATACTCCTTAGTGTGAATTAGCTTCAGCAGCAGTGCTTTCTCTAGGTAATCAGATGAGACTAATGGTGGGAAGGTAGCCTTAGCACTAATGCAGTTTCTGAATATTCTCAGTCTGTAATTCTACCAAGCATTGTGAGGGAATGGGAGGAAGACTGGGGAGTAATCATTTCAGAACAGAGAAGAACAAGCCTAGATGGGGCCCAGAAGTGAGAGATTCTGAGGAGGAAGAGGGAGCATGGAAATATTGCTCAAGGAAGAACAAAGGACAAGAAGGCGGGAAAGCAAAGCAAACTTGAATAGTTGCTGTTTGCCAAGGCCAGGTCCTTTTCTTACCAGATCTCTAGCCTATAGAAGGGATACCAAGGAGTTAGCACTTGGTAGAGTTTTTACTGCTAAAGCCCATCTATATTAGTCTCCTTTGGTCCAGATGGCTTGGAGGTTCACAAGTCATTTGACACTGATGGCCTGTAATTATTGAACTCAAGGGGAGTCTTTAGGTTAGCTGACACAGGTCTAGCATGTCTGAGATTGAGGCTCTTGAGCCTGAAGACTTGCCTTTGGTACCCAATCTGATTCCTTCCTCTCCATATGTAATTAGATGGACCAGAGTCACCAAACACTCATGAGCTTGTGCCATGTGGTCCTAGGCTAAACTAACAGTGTTCACCCAAAGCTGCATGGACTGACCTCTCCTTAACCCTTCTCATGCCCTCCATTTGGAGGCAGAGTAGGAAGTCATGAGGCTGAGGGTGCAGTAAGGAAGATCCAAATAGGAAGAAATCACCCTGAATGGGAGCAACAACCATATAGATTGTTTTAGTGCCCTAGGGTACATCACCGTGGAAACAGGCATCTTCTTATCCGTGGTGTCTCTGTTACCTGTGTCTAATTCTTAATAATAATGGGTCTCCTTGGCACAACTCCATTTTTTGCCCAGCAAAATACCGTCAATGCCATAGTATCTTATCCTATTTCCTCTTGGCATTAAGTTTATAACCTTCTGCCTGACATATTGCCACTGTTCCATAACCTTTATATAAAAGGATTTCTTGATGCCACAAACACATGATTGCATGAAATTCAGGCCTTGGAGGAATCCACATTAAATACACATACCTTTAGAGAGAATTGATGTAGAGTAAAAGAAGTCAAAAATGGGGAAAAAAAGTAGATAAATGAAGACTCTTTTAAGTGGTGCACATTAAAGCCCTCTCTAGAGCAATAATCATTAGTGTCTGATTGATATGCTATTGGTAGCAAGCACATTCATGCCTTCAAGTCATCACCAACGTGCATGAACACACTCTGAAGGGTCAGCGTGCTGATGAGCCATGGTTGTCAGCATCTCAGCTTCATTTGGCTGTCTCAAAGAAAAATGGGATTCAAGTACTCCCTGTCTAGATTATCAGCCAAAGGGTAACAACTTCCATTCATAAGACCTATTGGAAGTTTTCCTACTCAGACCATGTGTGGGCCCTGCTTGGTGGCTGCAGGCCAAGGGAAGCCAGAGATGGGAATGACAGTGGTGGAAGGGAGCCAGCTGAATGTTCAGACAGCTCCATGACAGGATTGGTGGAGAACCTCCCACAAAGCTTGCCCCCAAATGCAGACCACCCAGGCTTTGGTCTTGGCTACTTTTTTTGCTAGTTTGAATCCAAAGGCAGAAAGGAGGAAGGACTGAGAAATGGTGCTGCATGCTAGAATTTAGGAAGCTTTTGAGTGTGGCCACATTCATGGATGTCAATTTGAGGGCACATTAAAAATGTTGTAAAACTTGCCTGAGGTCACAGAATAGGCAAAAGAAGGTTGCCTTCATTTTTATACTGATACTAGAGGCCTAGTGCATGAAATTTGTGCACTTGGGGGGGGGGTCCTTCAGCCTGGCCTGCACCCTCTCACAGTCCGGGAGCCCTCGGGGGATGTCTAACTGATGGCTTAGGCTCCCTCCCTGCGGGGAGCCTAAGCCAGTAGTAGAACATCCTTTTGCATTGAGTGTCTGCCCCCTGGTGGTCAGTGTGTGTCATAGTGACCGGTTGTTCAGCCTTTCGGTTGATTTGTATATTACCCTTTTATTATATAGGATTATCTTGATTCTAGCAAAGCAAGTTACTATACTGGGGGATTCTAAGGCATGGAATACAGGAGAACTATAACGTATCTTGCTTAATTTCATCCCCTTTTGCTTAATTTTCACAAGGATTGGAGTGTGTGAGTGCGTGTATGTACGTGTGGAGAAGGGGGTGCTTTTGAAGGCATCAGTTTTAGGCAAACATCTATATTCTTTTTATGGCCTGAGCATTTTTGGGGAAACCAAAGCAGCTTCTGCAGAGCTTTCCAAATGTTGACAGACCAAGCATTATTGACAATGTTGTGAATCTGCCCTGGAAGTCCCTTCCAACATAGCTTTGATCGTTTCACATTTCTTTGACTCTTGTGGAAAGAAAAGCAGAATTTCCACATAATTGCACCCTTGATACTGTCAAGAGATAATACAACATGCCAGTTACTAACCATTGGGATGCCTATTTTATGACTGAAAGAGAAGCAAACAAGAATTAGAAAATATACCTAAGAAGGTAATTCACCCAGATGATGTTCTTCTCATTTGCATTCTTGGCATTAATAGCTATGGTGGCACTAGACTGTATCCAGATATAGCCTCCGTTCTTCTGCATCCAGCGGTAGTACTTCGTCACACACTGGCCCTTATTCAGCACTGGGGGGAAACAAAACAGAAGGCCCTGTGTATTAAGACTGGGACCAGATGATTGTCATGTCTGCAAAACCTCAAGCTTAGAAAGGGGAGGACCGCACTGAGCCAGGGTGGCTCCCTGTATGCTTAATGTAGAATGCCATTAGCAGAACAAATAAAATCAACAATTCAGTGGAGCAGCATCTCCCCAGTGAGGGTTGCTAGCATTTGCAGCAAAACTTTGTTCCATTTTGGGCAGCCATGGCGTGGAAGGAAGAATAAAAGGACTACAAATCTTTTTGGCTCACAGAATACCTAATGCAGTGTGGATATTGTCAATGGGTTCGCCATCAGATGGCAACAAAGGCAAATGTGCGCGGATTTATTCATAGCTTCGAGGTAGACCTCTTTGAGATTCTGGGTATTCAAGTCGCTCCGAAGATACTTTACCCCTCCTTTGATCGTTCACCTCATGCGAGCGAGCAGTGTCAGCCAGCGTCCTTGTGCATCTGTTCCTTTTGATCTTGTGCAACAGAATTTATGGTCCACGTATGAACTAAATTTACATTGGTCAGTCAGGGGAAATTCTGGTGAGACTTTACGGAATGTTGGAACAAAATAAATTTCCCAGCCGAGTCAGAGAGAAATGCTGGCCTAAGGGAGGCACGGAATTGACTTGGCTGGAGCCAAACAGAGTGACAGCTCCACACAGACTCTGAAATATGGCCCCAAATGAAGGAACAAGTAAAAACAATCAGTAATGTGAAACGGTGCCATTAAATACCCACTGAAAGAGAGCTTTAAAATGCAGATGTTAAAAATGATACTTTAACCAAAATCTTGCCAAGTCGAAATTGATTTGACTTGTATCTGGGTACTCCTGAGCTAGTAAAAGGGGGAAATGCACTAAATCATCCCTGAAATAAAGTGCTATGGGAGGGAATGGTTTAAAAAGATGCCGGAAACGTGCAAATCCTCTGCTATTGCTTGGATACGCATGGCAGAGACTCCACACCCCCCAGCAGCCTGCCAGCTGGATGGCCACTAGAGGGCAGTGTGCACTCGTCCACATCACCCACTTTTGGCATGTCCTTGTCTCTGTCTGCTAAAATGAAAAAGCTCTAACTGCTGTAATAAATTTGGCTAAATTAGCTGCTAAATGGTTATCTCAAGTAATATGTATTTGCATTAATCATCTTGCTCTAAACCAGAACAAGCCAGAGTCCTAAAGACGTAGTAAATTCATATTGTCCATTTAATTACGGCTAATAAGTGCTTCATATACAATAGTTTCATGAAGTACATTTTGATTTTTTTTTTTTAGCGGGGGGTGGTGGGTAGAGGAGTAAAGGGAAGTCACTTTGGAAAAGAGCTGTGTTTAAGGCTGTTGAAGCACTTTGCTGTCATGTCTGAGCCACTCTTCCTGACCCCTGAAAGAGATCAAAAATCAAACCTCCACCTATTATATCCATAAACATATAAACTTCAATGCCTTTCTCCCATTTCTCACTTTTTCTCACAACACACTAAATGGATGGTTGTAAAGTTGAATAATTATATATCTTAACAGTTGCTTGAGAAAGCCTTGCTTTGATGAGGGCTTCAAGTAGTAGCAAGTTCTATTCCATAACCATTCGACAGCTTAGGGTGGTTCTAAGTCCCGGGACTGTCATTGGCCGGTGGCCAGGCTCCACAGGTAGCATTGCACTCGCCTTTTGTGGGCGATTGTAAGTTCTGCCATTCTGCATGCATGGCTTCCCAGGCTACAAGACCACATGGTGAAGCTGAGAGCAGTAAAATACTAACTCTGCCACACAGCTCTCTGTCAAGCTATTGTTGCATGCAACGAGATGTGCTTTATTCAAATCCTCTCAACCTGGTTAACTGTTAATAGAGGAATGATGGGTTATGAAATTCTGCCCACTATTTTCATAGAGAAAGTTGATAGCCCCCAATCAAGGATTGGTGTATAATTCTATCAGCTGTGTAACTGGAACAAGGAGTTATTTTGAATGGTTCTAGTTATTTAACAAAGGCAAAGAGTCTAACAAGTCCATTTTTTGAAGCACATGAAGAAAACACTGAGATGGTAGACCCCTTAGATGGCTGGGGATTCTGGATTTTTGACCCAAAGCAGGCAAATTTAAAATACATGTATATCACCAGAATACTTTGCATAGAAAGGGTCAAGTGAGAACGGAATTATAGTCAAATTAGAATGTACAGAATCAACATAAAGATCAGCCCCTCTTCTTAATACTTTCTCTTACTTAAAGACAAAGAAACAAAAATCTCAAATTTGAAATGCAAAGCCAGCAAAATGTCTCCCTCCCTGCTGGGATCCCTGCTATGCGATGGAAGGGTGGTGTCATCTTTTTGCGTTAAGGCAGTATGACTCTTGGTGTGCTTTAGTGCATCTGTTCTTCCTGAGAAGATAAATACAAATTTATTATGTATAAATGAATGAATGAATGAATGAATACATTAATACAGCATTCTTCATCACCCAGGCCCAGGGCCATCTAGTAAAGGGGGGAAACCTACTGAAAGAGTCAGGCCAGGTACATTTTGATGTGAGGAAGTGGTTGTGAAAGGTGAAAGGACTGACAAGGGGTTCCTTGGGCGTCAGGAGCTAGTTGAGTGCCTTAACTTACCCTGGTGAATGCCACAGAGCAGATCTGGGAGCCCACCTTTGCTCGGCTGAAGAAAAGTTTGACTTAATCCATTACTCCCCACCACACCCCCCAACCAGCCTGACAAACAGAATTCTTAAAAGGTAACCATTTTACCATGGTCTTAGATCATGACTGTTTCCTCAGGATTAGTGTTTTCTGAGTGAGACCCCACGTGCTGGTGGGAATCTACATAACTAGGCTAAGGCACTGAGTTAGCTCCCACTGTGGCATCCAGTGATGACCAGAGGATTGCCCAGTTGCTTTTGTTTTTCAAGAGGCCCCATAAAGGAGGTTATAGTGGAATTTTGCTTCGTTTAAAATAAACAAGAAAAATATTTTTCTTGGGGCTCCAGAATATAAATCTATGACTTTTGGATGAAACTCCCCCTCTTTTTTTTTTTTTAATCATATTGGCATATCAGCTAGATCATTCCAGCTGGGCCAGAGGCAGGGTCTGCCAGCCTTTCCGGAGCTCACCTTGGTGCCAGTTTGAAGGAGATTTCTAGTTTGTAATAAATTAGACAATTTGAAAAACACAAAAACTTTTTCGATTCTCTTTAATCCAGTAGCTGTTGTTTTTATTTTTGAGCTTTAGCTTGTGATAGAAATGAGAGGATGTTTGTATCAGTGTATTTCATAAAGGTTTTTTTTTTGTTTTGTTTTGTGTTATTTGTGAGGAAAAACAGAAATAAACATGATGTAAGTCATTTGTTGTGAAAGTCCTTAAACTATGGTTAATTGTCCTTTGAAAAGAGTCTGGGAGTAATTTCATAACAATGTGCTCAAACTATAAAGAGAGGAACTAGAGAGAGAGGAAATGCATGTGTGGGCCCTATTTTTAACCTGACGTCATGATGTGGTCCGACACTTAACCTAGCACCTTCTTTGTGATTTATGCCCACGCCTACTCTTTGCTTTCCACACTTTTTGGTAGCGCAGCCTGTGTGTCCCTCACTGAATTCATTAATCACATCATCACATCTGTAGAATTACGTCTTTAAAGTTGTGCTATAGGAATTAGTTTTTATTAAAGGATCCCCAGACATTGAAGTGGTCTTTCCTTAGCTTTTATAGGACAAACACGAATACAGAGGGAGGACGAGGACCTCTTTCCCAGGGTCACTTACAACCTCAAAGGGTCCCAGGTGTGTCTGCGAACGCCTCTGTACCATGTAGAGCCTGCTCCTTTTTACCCTGAAGTCTAGGGTGTAACCACTGCTGTGGCTGCCATCACTCCGAGGAGAACCATGAACCTGGCATCAGTACCACCTACCTTCCAAGCTAAAGGTGCCTGAGTAACAAACCGTGTTCTTCAGAGGAGAGAGGTGACTCCACTGTGAGAACAACACAATACAGACCAAGAGCCGTAGCTCCTCCTGGCTGCACTGTTCCAGGCCTGCTCATCTCACTAGCCATGGCTGGCGGCATCAGAACACCATCCACCCCAGCTGTGAAGGGGGTGGCGAATATGGTTCAATCAAAAGGAAATTGCAGAGAGCCAACGTTACAGAACACGTGGCTTTTTACATCCAATACAACCCTGCCCCCCCTCCCCATTCCCCAGCCAAAGACTGATGCTCAGTATTATTCAATATCCTTTTTAAATGTTACCGGTTCAATGGGTTTGGGCTTGCTGGTAGGGATGCAAGAAATGTACTGCCGTCCCCCCAGACCTGAGGGCTTTTGCTGAAGCACACGGCCATGGCTCTGCAGTTACCAACAAAAGCGGTTCAGTTGTGTGTTTTTTTGGGAAAACTTGGTCCACAAAGATAGACTGAGGACTGAAAGGACATAAAGGAAGCCTGTGTCTGTGGCAGGAACATAATTCTGTTCGTAAATCAAAACAAATCGGTCCAAGTTTGCCTTCAGAAATATGGAGAATAAAAGAGAACATGGTCTCTTCCTGTTGGGCTGTTCTACAAAATCAAAGCCAAAGACTCTAAATAGTGAGTTACTTGTGTCTTAGAAAGAAGGAAGCAGTCTAATTCAGCTTGAAGAGGAGATGGAGAACACGTATCAAAAGCGGCCTTTTAGCAAAGTGTCTCACAAAAGGACATTTTAGCGGTTTGCATATGCATTAAAAAGCTGCAATACTTGGCGTATTCAGGTAAGTATAGAATAAATAGGAAATGGTGAGCTCATCGGAGATTTCACACTTCACATTCACAGGGCTGAACAAAGGGCTTCATTATCGTCCTGGCGATAGGAGGGCGCATCTGCAGCGCCATTCACCCTCCTGAGGTACCTTCATCAATGGCTGCAGAGAATGGAGAGCAGATGCCTTGTGCTGGAACTCAAGAATTATTTGAATTCACTAATGTGGAGTGTGTGTGTGTGTGTGTGTGTGTG